TTTTTCCTTTATTTTTTTTAATAGGTTTTTAAAGGGTTAAATGAGTTAGAATTACTTGTGTGAACTCTGTATATTTTTTTTCCTTTTATTTTTTTTAATGGGCTTTTACAGGTTAAATGAGTTTGAATTATTTGTGTGAACTCTGTATAATTGTTTTCCTTTTTTTTTTTTTATAGGTTTTTAAAGGGTAAATGAATTTGAATTACTTGTGGGAACTCGGTCTAATTTTATACCTTTATTTTTTTTAAATAGGTTTTTACAGGTTAAATGTGTTTGAATTATATCTGAGATCTGTGTATTTCTTTTCCTTTATTTAGTCTCCAGCTTCAGAGGATGTGTTGATAGATTTTTACTATAAAACTGGATTGAAACTCTATTTGTGGACACTAACGTTGAGGTTTTTTTGCGCAGCTAAGGCCTGTGATCTGGAGAAGCTGCACCTGGATGAGAAAGCTTTCCGCTGGCAGCACAACGAGGACCGAATGGCCGTGGAAAAGCTGTCCGACGGCATCCGCAAGTTTGCTGCCGACGCCATCAAGCTGGAGACGATGATCAAAGTAGGAAAACCCTCAAACGGAGTCATTTCAGGGGTTTGATTAAATCAGGGGTCACCAACCATTTTGAAACGGGTTCTTAGTCACACTGAGGGCTACCAGTTTGATCCACTCTTCTGAAATAATACATTTGCTCAATATGCCTTTAGTTATACTTTATTAATAATCTTTAATGATACTCATCTGTGACAACAGTGACAACAAAATGGGAAACCTATCAATATCCACCACTTTATCTCTATTTATCTCAGCAACTGTTAGATTTTCACTAAATTTCCTTAGGAGTTTTCACTAGCCACTGACAAAACCTTTTAACAAATCATGAACTATGTTGCCCCATGTTTTCAAAAAGTTATTCTCAACTCAACTTTATTTATAAAGCGCGTTCAGTCAGCCAAAGCTAAAATCAAAGCGCTGTACAGGCCATTTGAGCCAATCATAAAACACAATTATCACCACAACACAAGACAAACTCAAAGATTAAAAACAGTAAGAGCAAAAAAAAATAACAAAAAAAACAAAACCAAGTAAGAGACTTGGGGAAATTAGGACAACTAAAAGGCCTGAGAGTAAAAGTGGGTCTTTAAAAGGGTTTTAAAAGAGCTGTGTATAGGGGCCTTATCAATTATTTAATGTTAAAGAAAAATCAACTTGCATATTTAAAAGAAATCTCGTCACATTTTGAACTCGTGACCAAATCTTTAACATTTTTAACAAACTTATTATTGTTACAAGTCATGAACACAGTTTTAAGTTTCCCCCCCAAATCAGACACACGCAGGTTTATTTTACAGTTGTAAAAAAAAACACCCTCCTGCCATTCGTTGTGAAAGTGATACGTTTTGTTTTGATTCTCTGCCATGTTTTTGGGGTAAGAAACTGCTTATTTATTTACTGCTGACTTACTCTCCACTGACACGTGCAGAGTACTGACCTCTGAACTAGAGAAAACTTCAACTTAATATATAATGAACATTTTTAAGATATTGTCATTTTAATCAAATCTATATGAATGCAAGTGTGATTAAAAAAAGAATAGCAACGGAACAAAATTAACCCTTTAAAGCCCCATCCAAGAAAAGTTGGAAGAATATTGGATTTTTTTAGTCTGAAGTCTTTCTTTGGCCCCTCAACAACATATGAAGAAAAAAAAACAGAAATTATTTTGATCAAATTAGCGTGCAATAAGTCAAAAATCTATGTTGGTGTAGTCTTCTACTGGCTGTTATCAGGTATATCTGAATGTGTACAACAGGGGTTTGAGCAAAGCTTTTACTACTGAATGATGCAAACAGTCTCAGATCCAAAAGACTTCAGAAACCGTATATACAAAATATGAC